AGGAAAGGAAAGGAAAGGAAAGGAAAGGAAAGGAAAGGAAAGGAAAGGAAAGGAAAGGAAAGGAAAGGAAAGGAAAGGAAAGGAAAGGAAAGGAAGAAAATAAAAACCCAAGTGGAGGCAAAATTGCAATTTGTGCTTCTTCATTAGTTCTTTAAAAGAAAACAGGTCTTAGCATGCTTGACTACATGGAAAGACTTTCAAGGGTTATCACTATCACTGACATCAGTCGATGAAGACAAGAATTTTTGTTTGCATGGATCACTAAAGAAAAAAGGGGTTCTTAATCTTCAAGTCTGTTTGGGTTTAGATTTTTCTTATTTTCATTTTACAACATATTCCTATTGCACTTATGTGGTGAATGGTCTTAGCTTTAGTTTATGGTTTTATTTGTTTTGGGGTTTCTTTTGTTTGTTTGTTTGGGTTTTTTTCACTTTTCCCTTGGGTAGCAGGGTCACCTAGTTATGGTCATTTCAAATCTGAGGGATGCACAGGCTCTGTTCGGCTGGTATTGGGAATACATAAGCTATAAGTCTGGGAGAGGTCATAAGAAGAATACTACACATGCAGTAGTAGAACTTGTTGTTGAAGTTAGTCATATCAGTAGGGATCCAGAGTGGGGAGAAATTAATGGACAATATGAGCAGGACAGTCTTGAGATTCTACTCTCTTTGAATTGAATTCTGAATACATGATTATAACACAGGAAGAACTGAGTAATTAACAGGAAACTTCATTCTGAACCAATATTAACTGTGACAGAGGCTAGTAAATAAAGAGGGTAAGAACAATAGCTGACAATCTGATCAAAGTGGTCCCTTCAGTGTCAGTGATTTGTAGGCCAGGGACTCACTGAATCAGAGGGGATGTATTTGAATAGGGGAGACATGAATGGATTTTTCTTCTTTGTGTTTAGTAGTTGCTTTTTCTAGACAAAACATTTTTCATGTTTTAGGATTTCGCTTTAGCATTAGAAATCATAGAAGGTTGARGAGTAGGTGAGTAGGAGTGGTAGATGGACGAATGAGCTATGGACACGTATACTACRTGGACTCTATCCCTTTCATAGTGGAGAAATTTATTAATACATTGTTAGCTTAGTGTGTCCTTCATGTGTGCCTCTGTTAAAAAATGGTGCTGGAAAACATGCATGAATTAGAACAAAATGGCAATCAGCAAGGAGAGTGAACTGAATACCTTTTCCTGTAGCTGAGAAGAGATGAAGAGAGTATGTGAAACCGAGGGAATGGCAAGTCATTTGAAAGAGGATATAAAAAGGAATCATAAGTCTACAGGGCAAGAGTGAGACATTCTTATGTAAATATAAAAGATCTGAGCTGAAAGATGATGTGCAACAATTACTTCAAAATTGTGTTTTTTACCCCATCACTCTATCAGACTTACCCTCTTGGACTCACTATGACTGAGGCGGAAAAATATACCAGAGTTAATGAGGAAAAGGGTTGCCAGAGTTCACAGAGATTTCTCCGAGCCTTTCACCTTGAAGGACTTTCCTCCATGATAATGTTGTGTGTATTCAGCCATGACAAGCACAGGCAAATTCTCCATATTGGAATTGTGTTAATTTCATACACCRATTGGGCCCTGAGCTACAAATGGGAGAACTATAGGCTTGACCAACAGAAATGAGCCATGGATGGAAAAGCCATGACAACTGATTTTCAGAGTCATGAAGACATACCAAAATAACAAAGAGTCACCACTTGCAGCATACACTTGTGAAAGCAAAACACTACATGCRAAAAAGAATAACCACTCAGAATTGTGTCAATCCTTTGAAAATATGGACATACACATGACCACAGCTGGCGTAGCCATTTTTATTGTGCATTTGGCATATGTTACTAATTGGCATCCAGTTAAGAGCAATTACCTTAACGGAAATATAATACTTTTTGTATCTCACTAGCATGTCAGGGATTTAATGGTGAAGCAAACACTATAGACACTATGATAGAAAATAAAGGGTCTTCTCCAGTTCTATGCTGAAGAAGCCCTAGGTGAATTCACCAATGATGTCATAATGCCATTAGACRTGGCCAGCTTCTAGAAAAACACGTTTCTTTTGGATCTAAGGTGAACATTAAGGCATGATTTTCCTCATGATTCATAGTACATAAAACAAATATTACCTTACCATAATGAAACTGACYTAGGAGTTTTTACATTAATCAGATGTCACAGCAAGTTATCTCAATTACAGCAAATCCCTCAATGCAACTTCAGAACAGGAGAACACATGGCGAGCCTGGACTTAACAAYGGTAGGCAGAGACCTAAAGGCCGCGAGTTCCCCGCACAATGCCGCTGTCGCACCATGGGGAAAAAAAAAAAAACCGTTTCAGCGTCCAGGCCACCGCCGGAGAGGCAAGATCCTGGCAAAAAGCGGTTCGGTGGAACCGAGGGACCGGGGAACTCGGAGCGAGGCGGTGGCAGAGACAGAGGCGGGGAAAGGTGCGGAGAAGGCGGCCAGGGCGGTGCCCGAGAGCGGCGAAAGGGGCGGAGGCCTCAGGCCCGGCCCCCCGGCCGCCGTGCCCGCCCCTGCTCCCAACCAGGTCGGCTCGCACCGAATAAAAACCGTGGCGCAAACGACAGCCCCACTTCATAGCTTTGTTTCGGAGGATTCGTGGTTGGTGCAGTCATGTCTGGTCGCGGCAAGGGCGGCAAGGGGCTCGGCAAAGGAGGCGCCAAGCGCCACCGCAAGGTGCTGCGCGACAACATCCAGGGCATCACCAAGCCGGCCATCCGCCGCCTGGCTCGGCGCGGCGGCGTCAAGCGCATCTCGGGGCTCATCTACGAGGAGACGCGCGGTGTGCTCAAGGTGTTCCTGGAGAACGTGATTCGCGACGCYGTCACCTACACCGAGCACGCCAAGAGGAAGACTGTCACGGCCATGGACGTGGTCTACGCTCTCAAGCGCCAGGGACGCACCCTCTACGGCTTCGGCGGCTAAAAGTGTTCTTCTCTGATTACCCCGTAAAACCCAAAGGCTCTTTTAAGAGCCGCCCACATTTTCTTTTTAAAGAGCTGTGTTACTATATAGTATTAATGGTTTGGGTCTTGTTCTAATGTTTGCTTTTAGTTTTCTCTCCTTAACGCCGGGAATCAACTCTCCACCGCGCGTTTTAGTCTGTCAAGCTTCTATTCTCTAAAGAGCCTTTGGCGTAATGGGGGAAATGAAAGTCCAAAACGGACACTTTAAATCGACAGAATAATTCCCTTAGGCGCAAGTTGTCCGTTACAAGGCTCGGTGTCAGAAGGAGATAAAAGGCTAGGGCTGCAGGACTCAAAGCCCTGGGGAGACCTTTCCCTSTTGCTGGCGGTGCTGGCGCCCGTAAGAGGGCGGACCCGTGTCCGCGATTAAGCGCCCGCGCCAATTACAAAAGCCCGCGCTGGTGACCATTGGCTCCRGGACGTTCCGCGCTCGGCGGAACCCCCACTTCCCCACTCCCGCGACCATCCCTGCACGGCAGCTCCCCGCGCAGCGGAACCGGAGTGCTTCCACCGGCCCTGGCACACGAGGAAAACGCAGACCTGACCGGCCGTGCCAGACTTGTCCGGCAGAGAACCGGCTCGGGCAGGAGACAGAAAACACACTCCAAACCATACACGAACTCAGTAAACACACACTCAGACATCCTCCCCTCCCCCCCGGCGGCCGCTTCGCAGCGTCTCAAGCTCTTTCWCGAGGCTGTGGGTGGCTCTGAAAAGAGCCTTTGGGTTTTGCTTTTGGGCGTGGGACGCTTTCCCCGCCTGGTTTATTTGCTCTTAGCTTTGTGGCTCTCGGTCTTCTTGGGCAGCAGCACGGCCTGGATRTTGGGCAGCACGCCGCCCTGCGCGATCGTCACCTTGCCCAGCAGCTTGTTGAGCTCCTCGTCGTTGCGGATGGCCAGCTGCAGGTGGCGGGGGATGATGCGCGTCTTCTTGTTGTCGCGGGCCGCGTTGCCCGCCAGCTCCAGGATCTCGGCCGTCAGGTACTCCAGCACGGCCGCCAGGTACACCGGCGCGCCGGCGCCCACGCGCTCCGCGTAGTTGCCCTTGCGCAGCAGGCGGTGCACGCGGCCCACGGGGAACTGCAGCCCGGCCCGCGACGAGCGCGACTTGGCCTTGGCGCGCGCCTTCCCGCCCTGCTTCCCGCGCCCGGACATCTCTCTCTCTGCTCGCTCCGCAAAAAACCAACTCCACCAACAAACAACAGCAGGTGAGTGACGGCGGCTCTGAGGCCTCCGCCTTTATATCGCCTCCCCGCGAGCGGCCACCGCCTCCTGATAGGCCGAGGGACCTCTCGGGGCCCGCGCAGCCCAATGGCGCAGCGAATCTCACACTGRCCAATCGAGAGCGGCGCTGCGCCGGAAAGGCTCCGCCCGCGCTCCCGTCTGACCAATGGCGAGCCAGAGCGGTCGAGCCTCGCCGCACGGCCCCGGCCCCGCCGAAACGGTCGCTGCCGCCGCCGCCGCCCTGAGCCGCTGGAGCCGCGCAGCTCGGTCGCGCCCCGCAGAGTGTGTGCCCTCTCCCTTGTTTAAACTTGCAAARCGCCGAGCTGCAGAGTGCGGGTGTGGAAGGCCGTGTCGAGGAGATAGGGAGGAAGAAGGACAATGCGGCTGTGTCCGTGAGCGGGAGCAAAGGGCCAGAGGGGACACGGGGAGACTGCTAAGACACTAAATACCCAATACATTTTTAGCGGGAGCCCAGCTGAGCACCGGCTCTTCACTTAAAACCTAAAATGCATCTAAAGGCTCAATTAGAAAATTTGATTCATAGACATATCCCCTTTTTTTTTTTTTCTCCACAAATGCCTAATACAGTTTACGTGTCTGTATTATGACGCCTGTGTATTATGACGGATGACGTTCTTTTTCATTTATTTTTTTTTATTATCCCTTTCTTGTTTTTTCTTCCAAGTAGAGTTTTTCAGTTATTTTTTTTCCCTTTCTGCCGTATTTAATTCAGTAATAGATTAAGGTATCTAAATAAAAGTACAAATAGATTCCTGCGAAATTTTGTCCTTGTTTACCTGTGTATATACATTCATTGAAAGACAAAATTTTGCACTTAAAGGAGGAAAAGCCGACACAATAAAGGAAGACCTAATTACAAGCTTGCTTAATGGTGACAGTTTTAAAGAGTGCGTGGTTTAACAGTTAAATTTTGTCAGTTAACAACGATTTTGAGTGTCATCGATTGCCCAAGTAGTCACAGTTTAAAATTATTGCTTTTTCAGGAACACAAAACGTTCAGCAGGAGCAAAGAGTTGCTGGGAAGGGATAGGCGGTATCGCACATGGGCGGGAATTTTAAAATTTGAATCCACCAATGAAACTACGAAAGTACCCCTCTGCCTATCAGAGCGGGCACCAGTGCTATATATACTCCCCGAATAGAAACAGACTGTCAGTGCTGCCACTGGCCTCTACTTCTGT